CCTTCGTCCCCCTCCCCCCTACCCTCACCCTCCAAGGCTGGAGTTCATCAACCGGCAGGCCAAGGGTCAGCAGAAGAAGGGCAAGGACCGACAGCGGCGCTACGACGACCTGGTGGCGGCGGCAAACGCTTACGTCCGGGACACGCAGGTCCGTGGTTTGGGCGTTGGTCCGGTTGAGTGGTTGAGTGGTTGACGGGCGCTTCGTCAATCAGCGGGTGGCATGAATCTGATTTGGTGGCTCAAGAGCTGGTCCGGAAGCGAGCTGGTGCCGCAGCTGCCGCTGACGCGCCGGCGGCTGCAAGCAGCCGCTCAGCCACAAGCAAATGCGCTTCTCCACGCATGTCCTTCTCCTGCATTGACCCGCACCCCTTACTCCAACTACACCTCAACACATCCGCCACCCTGCCAGCTGTCCCCATCACATCCCACCATCATGCATGTACCCCCCTCCCCAACAACCTCCCCCCCAAAAGGTCGACAGCATCACCATCCCCGTGGGGCCCCGCCTTGGCGGCAAGGTGGTGGAGGCTAAGGGGCTGTCCAAGGCCTTTGGGGACCGCCTGCTGGTGGACGGCCTCAGCTTCAGCATACCACCCGGTAAGCTCCTCCCCCCCCCAAACGGGCCTGTATTAAACGACATTGGCGGCGCCTCGCAGGCTTTCGGGCCGCGGAAGGGGCGCACGGCGGTATGGTGATGTGGCGCTGCAGTGCCCCGCTGCACATGCTGGGTGCGGCACCCCGGGAGCCCACAGCCGGCGGCCGCAAGCGCACTGACCCTCTCTTCTGCGACTTCCAACCGGCAGGCGCGGTGGTTGGGATTGTGGGTGGCAACGGCGCCGGCAAGACGACGCTGTTCCGCATGATCATGGGGCAGGACACGCCAGACAGCGGTGAGGGCCGCGCCGTGCGGGCGTCCACAGTGCGCTGCCAAATCCACACCCTCTTGCTGACACCCTTGAGGTCACTGCAGCATTATGTCGCCATCACCAGCAAGCGCCTGTATCTCAGCACCCACCATGCGCAGCCCAAAGTAAGCAAGCTCGCTGTTATGTGGGTGGCCGTCAGTCGCCACTATGTCGCTTGACCTGGCACTCTGCAGGTGAGCTGGAGCTGGGTGACACCGTGGTGCCGATGTACGTTGACCAGTCAAGGGACGACCTGGACGCCAGCAAGACGGTGCGCATGCGCACGGGTTTGTGTACGCGCGTGTGTGTACGCGTGAATGCGTGAATGCGTGCGTGCGTGCGTGCGTGCACGCATGCCTGTGTATGTGCGCGCGCGCGCGCGCGTGTGTGTGTGTGTGTGTGTGTGTGTTTGTTGGGCGGGCTGCCGCCCTCTTGTGAGGGGGGCAAACACCGTCTGGCGAGCCCGGCGCCCCGCTCAATGCCCTCGCGCTCCGGCCGCGGCGCTGACGCGCCCAACCCACCCCCGGCCGCCTCGCGGGCAGGTGTACGACGCCATCGCTGACGGGTCGGATGAGATCGACCTCAACGGCCGCACGGTCAACGCACGCGCATACTGCGGGTGCGTGGGCAACCCGCCGGCCCCAGCGCTGTTGCCGCCTTGCGGCGCGTCGCCGGGCGGTGCGGCGCCCGCGCCCATACCTGCAGCTTGGTTTTTGCAAAGCCGTGGTTTGGCCAAGGCAGGGAGCAAAGGGTGGATGCCTCCAAAGGACGCCTCCCCTGCATGTGAAGAACACCCTCCCCTGCTGACTTCCTGCCCCACACGACCTGCTGGCCGCAAAACCCCCCACCAGCTGGTACAACTTCAAGGGGGCCGACCAGAGCAAGAGGGTGGGCGACCTCTCAGGTAGGCGCACGGCCTCGGTCCGTTTTAGGCCGCCTAGATGCGATTTTCCTGGGCGAATGAACTGGGGCCTGCAAGATGCGCACGAGCATGCATCACCCAAACGACTGCTGCTGTAATCTGTCTGTAGCATCCACATCCCAACCCCCCCTTCACAACCCGCCCACCCGTCCTTTCCCGTCTGCGATCCACGCATCCAGGTGGCGAGCGCAACCGGCTGCAGCTGGCGCGCGTGCTGCGTCAGAGCGGCAACCTGCTGCTGCTGGACGAGGTGGGTGGTTTTGAGGGGGAGAGGGGCAGGGCGATGGTGTTGGCAGGGGGGGTTGGAGGGTGAGGGTGGGGGTGAGGGTAAGGACGGGAAGTGGTTTTTGAGGATGGAGGAGGGCGGCAGTGAGGGCTTGAGAGGAGGAGGGGGGCGATATGAAGGCGAGGACGGGAGGTGGGGGACTTGGGAGGCGAGCCTGGTGGGGTACCACACTGGCGCCGGCATTTTTGAGAGGAGCGGGGCAGGATGAGGGTGGGAGGGGAGCCAGAATGGGAGCCTCTCCCGCTCAAGATGCCATTGCACCTCCCTTACCCC